CTGATCCTATGCTATTTTGTAAAATGTTGTCGGTCTGTTAGTATTTTCCTCCTTTAATTTCTAAAATAAAAATAAATAAATAAAACCTCTGTAAATCTGAGTCAACCATACTTTTCCTCCTGTAAGCTGTTAACGCAGGTGTTTAGTCACAAAAACAAAAAGACCAATATGAAAAATAATAAAAATACAAGTAAAATAACAAAAAAATCAAATAAAATAACCCCCCTCAAAAAACTGTAAGGACTAATAAACAACTGCCAAAGAGCCACCCAAAAGCAGAAAAGGACATTATCTCATCCTAGTTAAGTGACTTCACCTGACAGTGAACAGCCTTGTTAAGTCTAGTTACTATCTGTGTAAAACTATACACTCATTCGGGATTTCCAAAGATAAGACCCTCAGAATAAGGAAGTCAGTTATGGGCCACATCATCTGGCATGCAGTCTCTTCTCTCAGACAGTAAACAGCCCAAGCTACACTCAGGTGCAGTCAGGGCCAAGGGTTCCCTCACCTCCTGGTTTCAACTGCAAACCAATCTTCTTCTGCTGATGTCTTTCTCTCCCTCTCCACCTCCCAGCCCCACCTCGTCTCTGCTCAAACATTCTGCAGTCCTGTTTGCCATCTGATATGCAGTATATTTTTTCATTCAGCTATCCTCTCTCAGCACCCATAAGAAAATAAGTTCTACGAGAGCAGAGATTTTTTATTTTTACTCATTTTGTTCACTATTATATTGCAATCTCAAAATGCAACACAAGCTATTATGTTGGAGTTGTGGAAGGAATCCATGAATGAAATCGCACAGCTTCTAGAATACCCCAAATGTGACTGTTGTCTTTAAATTTTGGGTTTTTTTTTTTAACTCTGATAATCCATTACATTTGACCTAAATCAACAAATATTATGAGTTAGATAATTCAAGAAATCACTAACAAAAGCTTCCCTTTATAGAAACTTAATTGTGTTTTTTCATTCTATTTGTTTCTAGATCCCAAATGGAATAGGGATAAAAAATGAATGCTAAGGTACATAGGAGATAAACACAATCCTGAAGTAGACTACATCAGAACCAAATTGCTGAGCTGGGTATGGTGGTGCACACTTGTAATCCCAGCGCTTTGGAGGTTGAGGCAGGAAGGATCATTCAAGGTCAGGCTGGGCTACACAGTGAGTTCAAGGCCAGCCTGAATTACATAGCGAGATCCTGCCTCAAAACACACACACACACACACACACACACAATTGCTCCCACGTGAGTATTTCACATCACAATGAAAAAAATATATTGGGTTACCTGAATTGCAGCGACTCGAGGACGACGCAAATTTTTGAATGAACGCTTCATAATCCATCTGAGCTGATGCCAGAAGGAGGTGGTGTAGGAAACCTTGGAGCCTGAGCTCCTCTGCCTCTGACCTTTTGAAAGTTGATCTAATTCACCATTTACTTCTCTGTATTGGGAGGAGTTGGCATAAAGCTCAGCTAAGTTTCTCACTTCGGCTTTGGAATAAAAGTAGATGAATACAACATTAAAGACAGGAACAAATAACTGATTTAATGCATTTTCCTCTGACTTTTTCTTGGCTAACACCATAATGTGAAAGCTTGTGTACAAAAACAAACAAACAAACAAACCCCTAGCTTTGTCAGTACTTTACACATGAGAAAAAGACAGCTACATGACCTTACTGCTATAATCTTACGGATATACCATAATCAATTGGAACCCTAATTCTTAAAACAGATTCCTTACAAACTTATAATTCTTAATATAAAAATCCGGTCCATACTTTCTACTATGTGCAAATGCAAAAAGTACAAAGTGTCTCATTTTAAAAATGCTATAAACAACTAGCATTTTTGTCTTTTAATGGAAACTTCCCTTACAATTGGCAATGTTATATAAATGCTCATTTACAAATTAAATCAAAACACCTATGTCACTCATAGACAACAATGCCTATCTGCTGACTGGTATCAGAACACTGCATTAACAGGAATTTACAAAATCACATTTTAGTGAACCACCACATTAATGAACTTTACCTAAATCAGGAAAAACTGTGAACTAAAAGATTCACTTACCTTCCGAGGCTTCTATCTGTATGTGTCTTACAAGAGAGGACAATCCACATATCACATCCAGAAAGAAGTCTGCAGGGTTGTTGTAGGGCTCACAGTGGTAACCTAAGAGAGAAGGCAACACAAGAAAACAAACCTGGTCTTGGAGCACAGAGGACTCACTTAAAGAGGGTAAAGGAGGTGAGGCTAGGAAAGACAAAATCTAACAACTTCTCCCTCATCTTCTTGCTCTTCTCCCCTTAATAATTTATCCTTTCCTTTTACATAGCTACTCACATGACACTTCAACAATTATCTGTGCCCCCCCAATATATCTCATGAATACTGAACTATTCTGAACATCTTTCAACTACCCTAAACTTTCATAAGTTATAAAACCCAAACAGCTATCAATATACTCTGGTGCTTACTAGCACTAGATAGAACTTGGCTCTAGAAAGAAAATATCACATGCCTGGGTGCATTGTGCCTCAGAGTTCCCCCCTCTGAGATCCTCTGTACTCTCTGAAATGTGAAAACTGCAGTATACAAGTCAGTAATAATTCCTTCTATACCTACTAAATCCAGAGGTCCAAATTAGCATCTGTCATGCTGCCATAATTTCAAATACAGAATGAATCCCCTGGGCAGTATTTTCAAGAGAGCAGGACCAGCACAGCACACCTGAACTCTGACCTCAACTTCTTGTGACACGATTATCTGAAGAGGGCCTGAATCCTGACTCTTATAGGTAAACTCCCTTGGATTTCCCCATATATGTTTGATTCATTTTAAAGAACTAGACTGAACAAATTAAGAATGATAATTAGTGAATATTTAAAACTGTATTTTCTTTTGTACTGGGAATGGAACTCGGGGCCTTGCACTTGCCAGGCAGGCGCTGCAACACTGAGCTATATCCCTAGCCCTTAAAATTGTAAACTGTATTTGAGGTCATGGTCAAATATTCCTATGAAAGTATTTCTCTATAATGAAGCAAACTACATGAAGTATTTTTAAGTATTACTCAATTCAATCTGAATACGAAGAACTAGACAGTGCAGAAATGTTGGCCCCATCAAGGTCAGATTGAGGAACACTCATTATATGATGGCCATTCACATCCATTCACAGCCCAAATTTGCAATCTAATTTTCTAGAAAACGAAGTAACATCTCTGTGAGAGATCATGAAGGCAATATGCCAGGGGAAAAACAGATGAAACACCATCCAATATACTATCAAGTCAATGACACCAGACCTTTTCAGAAATGTTCACCTGACAGAATAATTGGCTATGAGCCCAGCACATTAATTACTGAACTCTCAGGGAAAGGCCATTATACTTAGCGAGTAGAATAGACACAGGCCCAACTTAGACACATTTACGCATACACACTCAAATGAGACAAGAAGTGGAGAGAAACCCAAGCAACGAGAAAGTACTACAATATGAAGAAAAATCTTGGCACCAAAGAGGCCAAAGGTATTTCAGAGTGGTGGAACCCAAGGCACTTCTATGCAAAAATCAAACAGCACCCTTGTAGACCTCCTCTGTTCTCTTCCAGAATTCTTCGAATGAAGGACCAGCTGCATGAAAAAGTTAAGTATACCTGCTGATGCAAAGTACTCCACAGCCTTCTGTGCAGGACCATGGAAAACTACCTTTCCCGCAGACAATAAGGTGAGGCTATCAAACAGCTTGAAGATGGAATACTGAGGCTGATGAACGGAGAAGACGATTGTTCGCCCCTGCCTAGACATCCTACATTACAAGAGGGAAAAGAACAAGTCATTAAGCATCTGAACATTGCACTTTCTGGTAAAATATTCTACTCCTACCATTAGGCCATGTATTCCCAATTCAACTTGATTTGCTCTTACAAACTTCTTATCTTAACTTATATTCTCTATTTAATAATTGGGGAATCTAAACTTAATGCTTTTATTAAAAGGCTAGAGCTCCTTAAAAGATGGACATTAAGAGTCTAGAACGTACTAGATGGTTCAGTGACAATGTAGATCTCTGGACAGTCTTCTCAGACACTGAATTAGAATCTCTGGGGCGGGGAACGTTGCCACACCCTAAGAAATCTGTAACTACATCCAAGTTTGACATAACTTGGTGCCAAGATTTTTCTTCATGTTGTAGTACTTTCTAATTATGGACTAAACATTAAAACAATGCTGTATGCTCAGTTGGCATTGATCAGTTTAGTCTTCTTGCTTTAGGATTGGATTTGGCTCTTGTGCCACTATAATACAATTAATATTGCCAAGCACTAAGTCTTCGCTAAATGCTTTAGAGAAAACTGCATTGTAAGTTTTACAATGTTGTTATAAAGTAGTTTCTGTATTATTTCCTTCTCTTAACACACAAGTCTTAGATAAAGAACTAGCCAAAGGGGCACAGCTACCAAGATGGGAAGGCTGTAATTTCATCCCTGGTCTATATCCATGTCACAAACAGTGCTAAACTATCTTTTCATTGGAGTTATTACTAGTGGGTAGAAGAAACAAAGGTCAAAAAATTCCTGTTTAAAGCTGTTATCAAGCATATTTTATGAGAAGAATTACTTTAATTCAAGCATTCGGTAAATGTTTACTGTATGTTTACAGTGTGTATGTCTAATGGGATCAGGAAGGAAAATGAAGGATTTCAATACAATGTGGAATAAAAGAGCTAAGACTTCCTTGTAAGCTAACAGGAGACTTGTGATCCAGTCTGAAGATAATATACAACTCAAAAGGCCTGGGTCTGAGCAGGGTCTGAGCAGGCCTGCTATTTGTGAGTGGTGGAACCGGCTCTTCCTTCAAATTGGAGCTCTCTCCAGCCACATCCAGCCTGGTCTCTCTCACTCCCTCTCAGCTGGCAGCTCACAGGCCCGCGGTCTTCCCTGACCCGCCTGCCATTTACAACAGCCCCCGCCCCCACCATGGCCAACCTTCCCTATACTCCTGCTTCATCTTTCCTGACAGCACATCTTTGTTACTTGACTGATTTTTTCTAAGGGCAAAATATTCTGCTGTGCACTTCTCAGTACTGGCAGTAAGAATACTGAGCACATAGACATGACCAATGATTTGTACTAAATAAATGAAAGAACAATGTTCCTGTAGCATTTACTCTTTCAGGTGCGAAATAACAGCATGTGCTGTGCTTGGGTCTAATCCAGTAGTGGGCTCATCCAGGAACAAGATGCGAGGGTCAGTGATCAGCTCCACTGCCACACTGGTCCTTTTTCTCTCTCCTTTGGACAAAACCTAAAACAGAAATTATTACCAGCATCTATAGAAATGACCAGGGTCCCTGCCATTTGGTGAACTAACCTGTGCTCTGTACCAGACGACTTATCTCTTTTTCTTTATTATTCTAATAGCAATAAACAGACACCTAAGAGAAGATGGTTCCTCTTCTATCAGATGAGTAAACGGAGACTCAATTCAGAGCTGTTAAACGATGAGATCTGCTATAAAGCCCATACTTTTCACAGTTGCTATATTTCACTTGATATCCCTTATCAAGTGGAGCATTTCATTTTAAGGTAGGAAATTAGAACCCTGAAAAGGTATGGCCCTGACATAGTGAAATCACAGTCTATACAGGAGATAAAGACAAGAGAAGAAAGAGGAAAGAAAATTACTAGCCTTCTAACAATGTATCTCCCCACTATTCTGGCCAAAAGTCTCCAAGTAAAATTACAAGAAGGGAGTGAACTTGGAGCCAGGAAAGTTCATTTTCTACCAGGTCATATTAGCAGCCTTTCAATTTCCACAAGGCTTTGCAAACTGATTCTGTCTACACTCTCACTATAGAATTCCTGATTCACCCTTTCAGACAAATCCAGAAAACGGGATGTTCCACAGGGGACCTGGCTGAAATTTTCCACCAGACAGTGTCACTGTGTGTGTGTGAGGAGAGTAGAAAGTTCTGGGAGATGCAGGAAGTGGGAAATAATCCTGTAACTAAGAATATCCAAAGAGATAATAATTAAATGTTACTCATAGGTACTATTAACAACTGAACTATAAAAGACATTTCATGACAGTTCATGAATATGGGCTTGACATAGCTGGTGACATGAAATAGTGTTCATTTTGATAGTTAGTAGTAGTATTGTTAAGGTAATTTCGTTATTTTTCATAGATGTGAAATAGGTATTCAGGAATAAAATGTTATATAACATTCTATAAAATATTTCAGTACGAAATAGCTGTAATAATCATGGGAGAACATTTTAACAACTGAGAAATCTAGGCTAACAGTATCAGGAGTTATGCTGTTATATTAACTACCTAATAAGTGTATATCATAATGATCAGACTATATTCTTTACATTTCTTTTTTGTTTAAAATATTAAAAATTAAAATTATTTTAACCAACTAAACTATATGAATTCTAAGATCTCAACAACAGCCTTTGTTTTCCATTGAGTTACAAGCAAGTAATTTAGGGCAATGACAGTTTAAACATGAAGAAGACAATAAAAAAAAAAAATCTTACTCACAAAATCAGGTAAACAGAGCCAAAGCAAAAAATCACAAACACTCATAAAATAAAAATAAGTGGTAAATGGAGCTATCTCGAGGTTTCTTTCCAAACAAAATGCACTTGACATAACAGACGGTCAACAAATATCAGAGGAAGCAGCAGTCAGTAGCATTTGTGTTCTTCGCTGTTGTGAGGAAGCTGAGCCGCTGCAATCAGCACATCTGGACCTCAAAGGTCCAGATGTGAAAACTTCCACACTGATTGCTCAAGACTAAATTTCATTGGTTTCTCTCATTTTTTTCTTCCTCATCCTCATAACTCAGTTACTTTGTCTAAGCTTTGTTACCCCTGCTTACAACTATATATAAAGTTCTAAAAACAATTATAGCAAATGAGAGTCTGGAAATAAATACTGGCAGAAGAAAGGTAAGGGGATAGGGGCTGAGAAAAACATATCAAAAGAAAGTCTATGCAAAAATAATCAGCACAAATTAAAAGTAAATCCTAATGTGACCAAATGTAATCTTGGGAGCCACACAGCAGTGTGAAACAGAGCAAGAATTCTTGCCTTCTTATCAGTCAATTGCAGAAATATGCCTCAGAACGCATTGGAACAAAGTCCCGTGGAGGAAGAGAGGGCTGCTCCAAGAGGAAGAGAGGAACAGGAGCAAGAAAAGTCAGTACAAAGCTATTATATGAGCCCAGAGCTCAACAGTGAGGACGGGGGAGGGTCGTACAGAACAGGTCAAGTAAGGACACTTCTGCACCCTAGGTCTCCCTCTGCTCCCAGGAGTCACCCCTCCTTGAGACCGTCTCTCCAGCTTAACTTAAACTTTCACATTAGGTAAGCACTCACTTTTCTCCTCATTACAGAAAGCACTCACATTATAGGAAATTTCTGATGAATGTTACACTGTGCATATAGAAGAGACCCTATTTCCTAGCTATGATTCCCTCGGTTTTATTCACATTACCTTGGAATCTGCCACATTTTTCAGACCTAGCTTTTCAATGATGTTTTCAATCCGCTTATTTTTTTCCTCATTCGACATTCTTGGAAGCCGAAGAGCTGCTGAGAACTGTAAATGTTCTCTCACGGTCAGCGTGATCAACACAACATCATCCTTTAGACAAAATGATATTTTAATGAGACATCCTGAGTCTTTTCTAAGACCATCACTCTAGTATATGTAATTTAATCATCAAAAATTACATACCAAAGGTAATTTCTAGCTAGTGGTGAGCTTTCCATTCTACCAACTGTAGTAACAACATACATAGACAACTGCAGAACCTCATGAAATCATTTCCATCTCCCACTGCTCACCAAAGGAGAGCCTATGATGACTAATAACAGACTGCTGTCCACGGGGATTTTCCCAGAATACCTCTCTAAGCTAATGGAGTGAGAAAGGTAAAAGAAGGGCAGAAAAGGACAAAAGTAGTGGCTTCTAGAAATGATGCAACAGCTGGAATTGATGCCACTGCCCTATGAGGCTCATATTCCAGATCCTCTCTGCCTTTTCTTTTAACACTACTCTCAAATGGTGGGAGATTATGAAATCTAGTGTGAAGAAAGTTGGTTCTACGAGCACATCACGTAATTCATTGGAAGTACATGAAAGCATAACCCAGGACATTTGCCCATGTAAAAACAGGAAATCCAAAACATAACCCCACATACACTTACTTTTACCACATAACCTGAATTACATTTGAAATCAGCAGGTGGCGGTTCTCCATCTATCAAAACATCTCCAGATAATCCACGTGGATCTTTTCTTCCAGCTAACACATCTAACAACCTACAAAAAATACATGTATTTTGTGGGGGGTTTCTCCCTCCAATAGTAATATCTGTATATACTCTGTCTCCAATAGCTGTATCTCTCAGCTACTCTGAAACCAAATTCTGTTCAAATTATAAACTAGTTGAATCCAAATTCTATTCAAGTTATGAGCTAGTAAAAGATTCTATAGTTCACCTAGATTCAATAATATGTATGATATATATATATATACATATAAATAAATAAATTCCCTTTGAGGGAGTATTAGAGAAGGGGGCAAAGAACTGGGGGTTAAGAGAGTGTAACAGGAAAGGTGATGAGATCAAAATGAGTTATTTTCATGTATGAAAATGTCATAATAAAAAACATTCTTCAGTAAATATGGCTAATAATTAGAATTTGATAAAGAAAAAAGATTACACGACAGAGTAACATCATAGTTATCTTTGTGTAAGGACATTCTATGATCTTTGTGCAATAATAACATTCCTTAAGGACACATTTTTCAGAACATATTCCCAGTGTTAACCAATGCAAGATTGTGCTTAATTAAAATAGTAGGCATAATTTTAAAATTCTCACTTTTCACTATGTGCTATAAGAATTCTCAAAAATATAAACCAAAAGCAACACTGGCTTACACAGCAGAGACTACAAAAATGATCCCCCTCGCCAGCTATCTACGTTGGTGGGTCAAACTCAGGCACTGTGCTCCTTTCTCTAATTCATGTATTTAATTATACCTTCTGCTCTATTAATTCCTTTAATTTTATCTCCTTCTTTTTCTTCCTCATTAGCTCACAATATGGCAAATAGCTGCATATCAATCATATTATTATGTCCTATTAGTATAGCTGATAAATGTGATTTATAAATACCACACTTATACTGCAGAGAAAGCTTGCTTATACTTTCTGTTATACTCACACAGATTTGCCTCCACCAGAGGGCCCCATAATGGCATTGAGGCCAGGTCTCATAATCCCACTGTCAACACAAAAAGATACTGATTTATTGCTCAACTTTATTTTTCAAAGGATATTTTTAAATTTTTATTATTATTATTATTACTATTACTATTATTATTACAATTATTTTGGTGCTGGGAATCAAACTCAGGATCTTGTGCTTGCTAGGCAGGCGCTTGTGCTGCTGAGCTATATCTCCTATTGTTCAACTTTAAACACAGTTCTATTAATTTAGGGTCTTCATGGAATATACTCAATGAATGTTGATGAATTGCAGACTGAAAATAAGTACCAATAATACTTAAAAGAAAAATTGTTGATTAACAATTGTAAAAACCCTAGTGTCTATGTCTAAAAACCCTGGAATCAGATAATGATTCCTGCCAAGGTCAATCCTATGATTACACAATTATCATGAATGACAAACTTCATGTATATTTAACTTCATGTTTATTAAACTTCATGTTTATTTAAACTTCATGCTTATCTTACGATTACACAATTCTTGTGAATGATAAGACAGGACCTCAGCATTTACTACCTGTTTTCCCTTAACTGTCACAATTATATAATGGCTGGTGAGATGAAGGCAAAATCCACCTTTCGCTTAGCTCATTAATAGAAATATCTCTCACTGAAACACTGGACAAAGAGTGAGAGGTCAGTAGACTTACAGCAAGCTGTAACAGAAAATCTTTTATTCTTTTGGTGACCCCAGACACACAATGCAAAACCATACTGATGGTGCACCATACTTTCAAGGTGCATTTATCTATAGCTCTTTTTTTTTTTTTTTTTTGGTTTTTCTCCGGTACCGGG